TCTCATGGGCTGGCATTGAGTGTCTGCAGCTTTTCCTGGTACACCATGCAAGTCACTGGTGGATCTATCACTGTGGGGTCTGGAGGACTGTGGCCCTCTTCTCACAGCTCCACTAGGCATTGCCCCAGTGGGGACTCACTGTGGGGGCTTCAACCCTGTATTTCCCTTCCACACTGTTCTAGTAGAGGTTCTCCATGAGGGCTCTGTCAGCAGCAGGCTTCTGCCTAGACATCCAGGCTTTTCCATACCTCCTCTGAAATCCAGACAGAGGCTCTTAAGCCTCAACTCTTACACTGTGTACACCTGCTTACAGCTTGCACCCTCTGAAGCAAAGGGAGGTGAAGCAAAGGTCATTTTCGTCATGCCTTAGCAAAGAATCTTTCACCCCCTCTTCCCCTTTGACCCATGGCTGGAGCTAGAGCAGCTGGAATACAGGGAGCAGTGTCCTGAGGCTACTCAGGGTGACAGGCACTGGGCCTGGCCCACAAACTATTCTTCCCTCCTAGGCCTCCAGGCTTGTGATGGGAGGGGCTGCCTTAAAGGTCTTTAAAATGCCTTCACATTGTCTTTGCCAATGCAAATTTCTGCAGCCTGCTTGAATTCCTCCCCTGAAAGTGGACTTTTCCTTTCTATCACATGGCCAGGCTGCAAATTTTTCAAACTTGTATGCTCTGCATCCCTATTAAATATAAGTTCCAATTTTATGTCATGTCTTTGCTCACATGTATGAGCATAGGTTGTTAGAAGCAGCCAGGCCAGATCTTGAACTCTTTGCTGTATAGTAATTTCTTCTTCCCAGTCAATTGCTGTGGCTTACACCTGTAATCCCAGCACTTTGGGAGGCCAAGGCAGGTGGTTCACGAGGTCAGGCATTTGAGACCAGCTTAGCCAACAAGGTGAAACAAAAATACAAAAATTAGCTGGGTGTAGTGGTGGGTGCCTATAATCCCATGTACTTGGGAGGCTGAGGCAGGAGAATTGCTTGAAACTGGAAGGTGAATGTTGCAGTGAGCTGAGATTGTGCCATTGCATTCCAGCCTGGGCAGCAAGAGCAAAACGCTGTCTCAAAAAAAGAAAAGAAAAGAAAAGAAAAGAAATTTCTTCTTCAGTCACCCTAAATTATAACTCTCGAGGTCAGAGTTCCGCAGATCTCTAAGGCCAGGGACAATGTAGCCAGGTTCTTTGCTAAGGCATAACAAAAGTGACCTTTGCTTCACCTCCCATTAAGTTCCTGATTTCTATCTGAGACCTCCTCAGCCTGGACATCATTGTCCATATCACTATAAGCATTTTGGTCACAAACATTTAACAAGATTCAACAAGTCTCTAGGAAGTTTCAAATTTTCCCTCTTCTTTCTGTCTTCTGAGCCCTCCAAACTCTCCTGCTGCCTATTACCCAGTTCCAAAGTTACTTCCACATTTTCAGATACCTTACAGCAGTACTGCTCTCCTGGTGGCAATTTTCTGTTAGGCTGTTTTCCCATTGCTATAAAGAAATGCCTGAGACTGGGTAATTTATAAAGAAAAGAAGTTTAATTGGCTCACGGTTCTGCAGGCTGTATAGGAAGCATGTTACTGGCATCTGCTTGACTTCTGTGGAGGCCTCGGGAAACTTAGAATCATGGCAGAAGTTGAAGATGGAGCCAGCACTTCATATGGCTGGAGCAGGAAGAAGAGAGAGAGGGAAGAGGTGCTACAGTCTTTTAAAGAGCTAGATCTTGGGATAACTCACTTATTCATTATCACAAGAACAGCACTGAAGGCATAGTGCTAAACCTGTCATGAGAAACTGTTTTATATGATCCAGTCACCTCCCACCAGGCACCACCTCCAACAATGGATATTACAATGTAATGTGAGATATGGTGGGGCACAGATCCAAAGGATTGAGTTGCCTGTTTGACATTCAAATGAAGAAGGTGAATAGACAATTGGGTATATAAGTCTGGGTGGAATGGGTTGGGAGTATCAATTGAGTATTGGAAACACATAGATGGTATTTTAAGCCATATGACTAGATGAGATACCAAGGAAGGGAATATAGGTTTTTAAAGAGGGAGAGAGAAAGTCTCAACATCTGAGCTTTGGGACCCTCCAACACATCGGAGAAGTTGGAAGAGAGAGATAGAGAAAAACCAGAAATGTGATACAGAGAGCTAAGTGAATGAAGTGTTTCAGTGAGACAGAAGTTGTCAGCAATTCTTGGTAGATGAAATAAGATAAGTGCTAATAATTGACTATTGGATTGAGCAGTGTACAGGTCATTGGTGATCTTGATAATGCTCAGCAGAGTGAATTTAAGCTGAAGTGAATTTATGGGAGGAGAGGAATTGGAGGCAATGAGAAGAGACAACCCATTAGGAGTTTTGCTGTAAAGTAGGGGACAGAAAGTTGTTCTTTGGGAAAAGAGGAGTTAAGAAGTTTTTGTTTTCTGTTTTAATTATGTGTTTTAAGGTGGAATAAATAATAATCATGTTTGTATACTGATGGGAATGATCCATCAGAGAAAGAAAAATTGCTGGAGCAATGTCTTTGTCCAGTCAAGGGGGATGGGATTTAGTGCATAAGTGGAGAGGCTGGCATTAGATAGGAACATAGACAATTCATCTGTTATGACAGAAGGGAAGGTGTATTATATGGATATAATTCTTATATAGTAGGTGGGAAGATGTGGTGGGGGCTTTTGAAAATTATTTTCTTATTTCTTTTTTCTCAGTGAAATAGCAAGCAATGCCATAAGTTGAAAGAGAAGATAGGGATGTTAGAGACAAGAAGAGAAAAAAGTCATCTAGGAGAATGAGACAGGTAATACACAAGGGGAATGTAGTCTGATTTCTGGGTGGAATTAAAGCCCCATTTGAGATTAGTAGTCACGAATTCAAAGTGACATTAGCCAGTTGTGATGTCTCACACCTGGAATCCCAGCACTTTGGGAGGTAGAAGCAAGTGGATTGCTTGAGCCCAGGAGTTTGAGACCAGCCTAGGCAATATGGTGAGATCCTGTCTTTACGAAAAATACAAAAATTAGCCAGCTGTGTCAGTGCATGCCTATAGTTTCAGCTGCTAGGAAGTCTTATGTATCAGGATCACTTGAGCCTGGTAGTTTGAGGCTGCAGTGAGCCATGATCATGCCGCTTCACTCCAGCCTGGGTGACAGAGGCCCCTGTCTCAATAATAATAGTAATAATGATAATAATAAAGTAATATCAGTCAGCAGCCACATTAGCTGCACAATTGCAGGTGCCAAATAAGTAGAAAGTTGGGCTTTTGCTGAGCAAGTGAAATGAAGTCAGAGGTAAGTTGTCAGTGTATACAAGAGAGTGATTATAAACCATGAATATTTGTGATTATATTTTTCATAATAGCCAAAACCTAGAAAAACCTAAATGTTCATCAACTAATGAATGAATATACAATGGAATATTAGCCATATAAAGAAATGAAGTACTGTTATATGCCACAACATGAATGAACTTTGAAAACATCATGCTCAGTGAAAAACCAGATGTAAAAGGCCACATGTATGATTCCATTTTTATGTAGTGTCCTTAATGGGCAAATCCACAGATAAGATAATTAACGCTATGATTGCAGCTGAGTGGAGGAGTAAAAGGGAGTGACAGTTGATAGGAACATGGTTTCTTTTTGGAGTGATTACAATATTCTGGAATTAGATAGTGGTAATAGTTGCACAACTCTAAACATACTAAAAATCACTTTAGAAAGGCAGATTTTATGGTATGTGAATTATATCTTAATAAAGCTGTTATAAAAGTAACATGTTAGTTCACTAGAAATTTGCTTATCTCAAACTCAACAAATTAAACAGCTCAGAAATTTAGTCTAATCTGATGTAGGACTAAGGTGAACAAGTAGCTGTGTTACAATGTTTGCAGTCTCTTTTCAAGTTTGAAGATTACAGTTGTTTGTTTCTCAAACTTCCCTCAGTATTAAAATGTAATTGGCTAAGTTGCAGAGCTTGTGAGGAGAGACCAAATCTGGCTCTGCCTTAATTACTTAGCATATTCATCTCTCCATCCCTTCCTTTCTCCTTCCGATTAACAAACCTTTACTAAGCTATACAAATCACCACGCACTATCCTAGGTACTACTGGTGATACAAAGATGGATTGGACTTGGTCTCTACCCTTGAATGTGAGGTTTAGTGGGGAAACGAGTTTAGGAACTTGGACCACATTTCATTTTTAAGGTGAGGCTACTCTAATTGTTCTTCAGCATCCTCCCATCTATAGCTTATAGATAAAGTATGCACACAAGGCATATCAAACTTATTTGGATCTTCTTTAAGCTTGAAACATTCTTCCTTTTGTCTCACGTTCTTTCTCCTGTTACTTCAAAGTATTTTGGGGCTTATCAGATGAAAACCCATAATAATTTTCTTTCTTCTGATGCTCTAGACCTGAAATGTTTTTTACAAAAACCTCAAAATTCAAAATTATGATGTATGTTAGGTAAAGTGTGCATACTGGTGGTGTCTGCAAAGCAATTAATGTTTACCTTGCAGAATTGTTGTGAGGGGTCAGTGAGAATACATAATTCATATATGGAAGTGTCAGACAGAGTACCTGGCAGGAGCTCCTCAATAAATATTATTATACTTTCTCACTTTGCTAAGATCTACAAACACTAATTTTATATATGCAGATATGTGGAGATTAGAGATAAAGACCTAAACAGACAAACCCTAATTCCAAAGAGTTTGCCATACATTGATGGAAATTAATTGGTTCAGAGATGTTGGCCATGTCTGCCTTATTATTTAATGACTTAATTAACTTACTACAAATCTATCCATGTTTTCCATCTTGGATTTTTATATCATAAAAATGTAGAATTCTTAGCTCTTGAAAAATAGATACTTGGATAATGCTTTTTAATGATTATGAGCTAATTATATTTTGAATCTCATGCCTAACTGAAATGTAATGTTGCATACTGGGCTTTGAATTTACTAACTAGTTCTTCTGTTATCTTCCTAGAATGCAGCTGGTTTGTCAAAATCCAAAGGAAGCCGAATTGGATTTGATAGCATACAGTGGGTATGTAGAATAAATAAGAAATTTCTCAATTATAATGTTCATTTAGTTCATTCATTTACTCCATAATTATTTGTTGAATGATGGCCTTTTACTAAGTGGTTTATATGCAATATCTTACTTAGTCCTTAAGGAAACTTTAAGAAGTGAGTAAATATTGTTACTCTCAGTTCACTTAGAGAGATTAAGGTTAGTTGGCCAATAATTTGTTAAGACCAGATTCTGTCTGCCTCTAAAACCCTCATTCACTGAGCTATGGTGTTTCCCTAAATAAATGAATATGTGAATCAGATTTATTCAAGTAAGGGAAAAGTAATGATCAGGAATAAAAATCTATTCAACATAGTTTCTTTATAAGATGAGGGGAAACCAGCAATATATACAATATATCCTTGTTTTACAAATTTCAGAACCTGCACATTGATTAAATATATTTTCCTATGTTTTAAAACTAAGGTTAGAAAGAAATAAAAAACAACTTTTATTCTGTTAGTATACATTATGGGAATGACCAGATATTTCTTGATATACTTCAGCCTTTGGCTTCTCTATAACCAGAGATGTGGAAGGCTTTAAATTAGAAGTGGCTTTTCAGATCACTGAAAAAAGATCACAAGCAGTGGTCTTTTTAGGTCATTGCTAACACCAAGTAGATTTGAACTGCTGTTTAAAAAGTAAGTCTGGGATATCCTGTTACCATTCTCCTCAGCACTCTATAAGTATCAGTGTAAAATCTAATTTGTTAAAAATAGCAATTGTTTTACTCTGTAAATTTAGGATATTCAGAAAATAAAGGTAAGTATGATATACTTGGAATTTATACTACCCAGTCAGTTATAAAGATTTTAGATTAAATTAAAAAAGGGTATTTTGTATGCTTCTCTGTAGCCCTTCTCTACCTCCATCCCACACTTAGGAAACACATACACATAATACTTGGACCAGATTTATCATCCTGTGGTTAAAATAATTTGCCGAGATTCAAAATTCAGTATTTAACAGCCAAAGGCAACAGGAGTGATCTATCATAAATTTTAACATTATCAGTTGTGATGATACTTGGAGAAACATAAATTTTTCACGTTTGCCATTTATTAGGAGTCTTCATCTGTACACTGAAGAGCAATTTCAGAAAAAAATTTAAAGCTGTGATAGCTTCAATGGGATAAAAGATTTTCCTTTATCAGTGTTAACCAACAACATTCTGACAACATTCCCAAACCTTTTCATAAATAGAGCAGTTAGAGTAGGTACAGATTCACTGATACATTTTAAAATGGAATTTATGAATAATGTAAAGCTTAAAATAATAGGAAAAGGTAGCTTGACCCTATCCTTTTCATTCAAGAGATGATCCTTGAGGTGGGAGAAAATAATGGATTTTTTTCAAAGTCTTTACTTCCACGGTACACAAGCAAAAAGTTGAAGGGCAGCTTACCACATTCAGTGAGTTCTCTTTATACTCTTTTACATTGAGGGGACTAAAAAGTATTGTAAATGTGGTCACTGAATCACTATATTTGCAAAATCACAGGAAGGGAGGAGTACTAACGTACTCTCATTCTAAACTTTTAGAAGGAATAAAAGGTGAAGTCTCATCAATAAGTGTGATATTGAGCCCTGGTAAAATTCTAGGGCTCAATGTTTAATGAGTTATTAAACAGATGACTTGGGAGCACTTAGAAAAGAAAATGATCATAATTAGGAACTAGGCTTTTACTAAGAACAAGTCCTGCCTAATTTTATTAGGTTTTAATAAAATTTTAATACAGAGACAGATGAATACACTATTATGGTCTCAGCCTAACCTCTTTTCAACAAGGTGTTTTTCATTCTTATAAACAAAATGAATTACTGAAGATCAGATGATAATAGTGATTTAGAATTAATAGGATTTAGAATCAATTGGACATGTTTTCCAGGAGCATTAATGATTGTATTGATAACAACTTGGAGGATATGTTTAGAAAGTGAGTTATAGAATCTTTTCTTGACTCTGACGTACTCTGTATTTATATTAATAATGATAATGAAGCTGTGTGTTCATCATATTTGTATTTAACACCAAGCTGAGATCCATTCAACATTTAAACAACTTTTATATAGTAGTTCTGTTATCTCATCTTTCTTCCAAAACCATTTCTTTCTTGTTTTTTCCCCTAATATAAAGCACAGAAAGCAATAACCCTAAAAGACAAAAAAATAACTAAATTGGACTATTAAAATTTTAAACTTCTACTCATCAAAAAACACCATTAAGAAAATGAATAAGGATGTCACAGAGTAGAAAATGTTTGTAAAACATGTATCTCACAAAGGAATGGTATAAAAGATAGATGAAGAACTCTCACTCAACTCAGTAATAGATTTTTTTGTTCATGCCCTTTATCAAGTTGAGGAAGTATTTTATTCCTGATTTGCTGAAAGTTTTAAATCATGAATAGATATTGAATTTTGTCAGATGCTTTTTATGTATTGAAATTATAATAGTTTTTCCTGTTTATTCTGTTGATTTGTCAAATTTTATTGGTTGATTTTTTAAATGCTAAAGTAACTTTTCATTTCTAGGATAAATACTACTTGGTCATGATATTTACTTTCCTTTTTTAATCTTTTTTTAGTTATTGGAATTGATTTTCTTATTTTTTATTAAGTATTTTTGCATCTGTGTTCATGAGGGATGGTGGTCTATACTTTTTTTTGGTAATGTCTTTGTCAGGTTTTTTTTATTTTTATTTTTTTTGAGGTGGAGTCTCTGTTGCCCAGGCTGGAGTGCAATGGTGCAGTCTCGGCTCACTGCAACGTTCACCTCCTGGGTTCAAGTGATTCTCCTGCCTCAGTTTCCCAAGTTGCTGCGATTACAGGTGCATGCCACCACACCTGGTTAATTTCTGTATTTTTAGTAGAGATGGGGTTTCACCATGTTGGTCAGACTGGTGTCGACTCCTGACCCCAGGTGATCCACCCGCGTTGGCCTCTCAAAGTGCTAGGATTTCAGGCATGAGAAGTTTTGCTATTAAGTATTGCACTGGCCTCATAAAATCAGATAGGAAGTATTTTCTCCTGCTCCATTTTCTAAGAAAGTTTTTGTAGAATTGGTATTATTCTTTAAAACTGATAGAATTTACCAGTGAACTATCTTAAGTCTGAAGTTTTTCCTTGCTATTTTAAGGGCAGTTTTTTTTTTTTTTTTCCTAACAAATTCAGTTTCTTTAATAGATATAGGGCAATTCAAATTTTATGTTTCATCTTGTGATAGCTTTGTTAAGTTCATTTTTAAAGAAATTTGTCTGTGTCATCTAAGTTGAATTTTTGGTGTAACATTGTTTATTCAGACATTTTACTTAGCTGTTTCTCACACTGAATTAATAAAACCCGGCATTTACGTAATATTCTACACTGAAAACAAATAATGAGACTGATTCCTAGCTTTATCTCATCCTTTATCTTTAAAATTCTTAATATTTTATCTATTTATTTATCTTGTATATATTTTTATGAGTTCCTTCAGATTTTCTGAATAAGAATTTATTCTTAATTTCATGACACACGTTTTTGATTAGCAGAAGTTTCTTTAAATTAAGCCTTGCTTTCATTGAAGTAGGCTTTTAGGCAGTAGTGTATGCCAGATACTCTGTTTATCTTTGCGGCTCTTAGGTATTACTTACTCCTAAGTGTGATTTAGTCTGCTTTCATTCTGCTTTTGAAATTTTTTCTTTCAGTAGGGGACCCGACTTACTATCTAGCAGATTTATATTTTGAAATATTGCAGTATTAGAAAAGCACATTATATATGGCAGTCATCAAGCAGGCAGTGTATTTTGGTCTGAGTCTTTTGCTTAGAAGGATTATTAAGTAGCATTACAGATATAAAGAAAAATGGTACAAACAACTGATTTTTGTTTTTGAAAGATTAACAATACTGATTTTTAAAAGCTGACAGATAGTTCTCTGAATTTTGCTTGAAAAGATTTTGCTGATACTAAGAGAATAATTTTGTCAGGCCCCACATTTTCATGTCAGATACCACTTCCTCTGAAATTTCTTATCCTTTTGATGTACAGTAAATTTGTAGCTTTCTGGTCTGTACTTTTATAATATGTTGTATATATATTTTTGTTTTGCTTTGTTTTTGTTTTTTTTGAGATGAAGTCTCACTCTGTCACCAGGCTGGAGTGCAGGGACACAATCTCAGCTCACTGCAACCTCTACCTCCTAGGTTCAAGCGATTCTCCTGCCTCAGCCTCCCAAGTAGCTGGGACTACAGGCGTGCACCACCACACCCAGCTAATTTTTGTATTTTTAGTAGAGACGGGATTTCACCATGATAGCCAGGATGGTCTTGATTGCTTGACCTCATGGTCTACCCACCCCAGGCTCCCAAAGTGCTGGGATTACAGGCGTGAGCCACTGCACCCAGCCCACATGTTGTATATGTTTTTATTATAGCATATTTCACCTTATGTTGAAAGTATTCATCTTTCTTAGAACACTGCTTATTGAGAGCAGAGACCATATGTGTTATTTAATTGTTTATATTTTTTAGCACAATGATAAGCATGTATCTATTGGGTAAACACTCTATGCATTCTTATACAATGAATGAATAAAAATGTAATAAAATAGGCTATTGTGTTGGTTTACTGGAATTATGAGAATTCTTTTTCTCTCAAACAGCGTGCAGTTAAAAAATTTATTATGCTAACATCCAAACAAAATGTACCAGTGTTTCTTATTGATCCTTTGATGTTGGAATTGATTGACAAGAACTTTGAACAAGTCAAAAATACTTCTTATGGCTCCACTTCAGAATGCAAGTTTTTCTGTGTTCCAAGAGACTTTACTACATTTGCACTGCAGTATCACCTAAGGAAGAATGAGGTAAGTGATTTGCTTTCAGATAATGGAATATGTCTCTTTTTTACAAAATAATATGGGATTAGGCTAGTTTAAAATGTAAAACATTAACACATTTTCTTAAAACACTTCATAAATTGTATCAGGAATATTTTCAGCTTTAAAAAACAATACAGTTAATCACTAAGGCAAATAGGGTATTTATTTTTCTTATATAATGAGAGATTAAAAGGTTAATGGCTATTGATATTAGTTTAGCTAGCCACTGATGTCAGAACTTATATCTCTGAAATTCTTTACTCATTTCCCTCATTATCACAGTATAGCTGTCATAACTCCATATATCACATCCATGTTCACAGCAGGAAGACGAGAGGAAGGATGCTGCTTTTTTGCCTGGGAAGACTCCTCAGTATCAGTATTTTTAGGTCATTTCTGTTGAACTGTTTGATATCTCATAGAAAAAGCCTACAAGGCTTATAAATAATTTTTACTAAGAATATTTTATACTGTCCCTTTATTTTGCCCAAATGAAATTCATAGAAATTATAACCTTCCTATATACATAATTCCCCAAATCAATGTAATGTCTTAACTATAATATAATGTAGAAATAAAAGGAAATGATGTGTAATTCAGTGTGCAGATGCTCCAGCATGACTATACTGGAAGACATAATAAGGTAATTCAGATGCTTGTGTTTAGAAATAGGATCACAGAATGTAGTAGCTACAAATATAAATTTATGATATGAATGGTATTATTGTTGGTAATATGATTTTACAAAGTAGTGAGCAAGCTTCCAACAAAAAAAAAGTAAAATTGTCTCTCCCTTGACATGACTATTGTATTCCTGAGAAATAAAGGCTCAGACAATTATAAACAAGTTTTTCACTACGTGATTATCTGACAGGACACTTGAAATTTAGTACACAGGATAGATTTTCATATTTTGGATTGTAGTATGTCTAGTGTTCTGGGCCTAGGACTCTAAATGCCAATTTATTAATATGATATACCAAAAATATCCCCACAAATTTCTAAAATGTCTGTTGGGTACAGTCCCACTTGCCTTGAGAACTATTATTTTAGAAGAAGGGGAATATGCCACAATTGGCAAAACTGATATACCATAGTCAGAGGAAGAAGCAAAATCTCAGTCATGCCCAGAATCAGCATATGGGTTCAAGTTTATCCTTTTATACATATGACATCCTACTATTTAGGAGATTCAAGAGCCCTTGAATAGTCTCCCTGACAACGTCCCCCAGTATAGAGCTAATTAGATTGTTAGATCTAATAATGAAAGGCTCCATTTGCATGTGATTTTTCTTTATTAATGCCATTACTATAAAATGAGCAAACCTCTGCCAAGGCAAACTGGGAGTGGACTTTTGCAGCACAACCTTGACCTAGGCCTTTATATCAATTGATCAGAACAACTATTTTCTTTTTTACTTCTCTTGTTGATGGTTATAAGAGAGCAAACCATATCATAATTCTGCCTATTTTATCTGTCATTCTTTCCTCCTATAACCCAAGGTCACGTTCTTCTCAAGATGTGGCTAACCTTTTAAATATTTCCTGATTTATCAGCTGATAATGCCTTTCTTTTATTCTATTCAGTAGTCTTTCCCTGAATTGGCTAACCCCATGCACAATCAGTGCTTTCTACTTCTTAGGTGTACCAAGAAAGAAAAGGGAAAAAGGGAATATTACACTTGATAATGAAACAAATGATGTTGGAAAATGAACCTTTTTTTATGTTATGTTTGTTTACTTTCTAATGATTTGCATTATGATGGTGTTCTATTATGGTAGTATTTTAAGGTGTTGGGATATAAATTATGAGATGAAAGAACTACTTTTTTGAAGGACTTTTGAAGATAAAGGTTATAAAAGTTAAATTAAGAATTCCAAGTTTAATTTTAAGTGCTGTTCTTAAATCAACATTTACTTTATAGAAACTACCCAAGAAACACTAACATGAGCATTCTCATTCCAAGGAAGGGATTTGCGTTAAGTTTCATAAAGACCCTTTTTTTTTTTTTTTTTTTTTTTTGAGACAGGGTCTCACTTTGTCACCCAGGCTTGAGTGCAGTGTGCGATCTTGACTCACTGCAGCCTTGACCTCTCAGGTTTAAGCGATCCTCCCGACTCAGACCCACAATTAGCTGGGACTACAGGAACACGCCACCACACTCGGCTAATTTTTTTTTGTATTTTTTGTAGAGATGGAGTTTCACCGTGTTGCCCAGGCTGGTCTCAAACTCCTGAGCCCAAATGATCTGCCTGCCTCAGCCTCCCAAAGTGCTGGGATTACAGGAGTGAGCCATGGTGCCCAGCCCATAAAAAGAGTCTTTGGCTATATCTTTCCTGCTACATACTTTGTATTTTTGCTACTTTCCTTTATTCTCCCACCACTACCTTCTGTCCATCACCCTCATTTAAAAATATTGTTACAGAGCAGATTTGCATAAAAATATGGCTTAGTTCAATATAAGAATTACTTTAGTTTTGCTACTAGTATTTGGCTCTAAATATTCAATGTTTAAATATTGTTTCTTGATGTTTGATGCTTCTTTGGTTCTAGGAAGGCTGGTTTCGGATAGCTGAGAATATGGGATTTCAATGCATAAAGATTGAGAGCAAAGATCCCCGGCTAGATGGGATAGACTCACTTTCTGGAACTGAAATCCCCCTGCACTATATCTGCAAATTGGCCACTCATGCGATCCACTTGGTAGTCTTTCATGAGAGGAGTGGCAACTACCTCTGGCATGGCCACTTGAGACTCAAAGAACACCTTGACAGGAAGTTTGTTCCCTTCCGAAAGTTACGGTTTGGCCGTTATCCAGGAGCTTTTGACAGGTAAGTTCAGAGTCAAAAAGTGAAGTGTGAAATCAGTGTTGTTCAGTCATGAATTCTTGCAGTGTTTTTACATTTGTGTATTGAAATCTAATATATAACTTATCTAAGTGTTTATAATAACATTGTTGTTAATGCCTCCAAATTAGAAGCAACCCAGATGTCCTTCTACAATAAAAGAATTGACTGGGCGCGGTGCCTCATGCCTGTAATCCCAGCCCTTTGGGAGGCCAAGGCAGGTGAGGTCAGGCGTTCGAGACCAGCCTGGCCAACATGGTGAAACTGCATCTCTACAAAAAATACAAAAATTAGCTGTGCATTGTGGTGGGTGCCTGTAATCCCAGCTACTAGGGAGGCTGAGGCAGGAGAAGCACTTGAGCCCGGGAGGGGTGACCATTGCAGTGAGCCAAGATTGTGACACTAACACTCCAGCCTGGGCAATAGAGCAAGACTCTGTCTCAAAAACAAAAAGAAAAACTATAAAAGAATAAATAATTTTTGATATTCATATAGTAAAGCATTACACAGCAGAGAAAAATAAACTAGAAGTCTGTGCACATTGTGGATGAATCCTACAATGCTGAGTGACACAAGGCACAAAAGAATGTAAATACTATGATTACTTTTATAAAAAGTTCAAACACAGGCTAAATTATGTTATGTATACCTTTGTAGTAAATGTATTAAGAAGGCTAAGGAAGAGGTACCAGAAAAGACTGGATAGAGAAGTCGGGACAGAAAACTACAGGGAAGCTGGCAGAATTTCATTTCTGTGGTAGAGACTTTGGTGTTTACTTAATAATTCATTATTTTGTGCCTTTGTGTTATATGCACTTTCCTGTATATTTTTTTAAACTGTGTGCAAAAATTTATCTTTGGCTATCGCAATAATAAAAATAAATGCTTCTTGTGAGAAATAGTTATTTGAAGAGACTTAAGTAAAATTTGATTAGCTATAGTTTGTAATAGTAACAATTAAAGGATTAAAAACATTCTTGAAGTTACACTTGGAGTATGAAGTTTCTAAACTAGAATTGTCCTTTTTATTCTCATTTTGAAATCAGTAATAACAATGTTACAATCTGTTTTGAATAGCAGAATCTTGATGTAAAGGTAGCAGTAAATATTGTAAGGATTTTCACCTTAAAAACTCCTTCTCAGCAACTTCCAGTGAGACAATGCTTATCTGTTAAACTTGAGAAGTGTAAGAGTATGTTTATTGTTGCCTTCTTTATACACACACACACACACACACACACGTTTTCTCTCTCTTTTTCTATCTAGAATCATGTGAGATTGCCTTCATAGTAGTACTTAAAGTCACATATTTGAGAACGACTGAAAAAGGTATTCAAAACTGAAGTCTTCTATATTTTTTGTGTATGAAAATTCAAAACTTTTCTGAACCAAGCCATATTTTCAAAATAAAATGACCAAAAAAATGAGGAGAAATGGAGAAAAATACTTTGTTTTTTGTTTTTATTATTGGTTCCTCTTATTTTAGTCAAAAATCTTTTTTTTTTTTTTTTTTTTTGAGACGGAGTCTCACACTGTTGCCTGGGCTGGAGTGCAATGGTGCTGTCTCAACTCATTGCAACCTCCGCCTCCTAGGTTCAAGCGATTCTCCTGCCTTAGCCTCCAGAGTAGCTGGGATTACAGGTTCCTGCCACCATGATCAGCTAATTTTTTTTTTTTAGTAGAGACAGGGTTTCACTATGTTGGCTAGGCTGTTCCTGAACTCCTGACCTCATGATCCACTCACCTTTGTTTCCAAAACTGCTGGAATTACAGGCATGAGCCACCATTCCTGGCCTTAGTCAAAATCTTAATACTCACTGTTCTCTTGCCACTTTTTTGCATTTTTTTTTTCTTATTCTGTATTTCAAATAACCTTCCTTAGGGAGACATTATCTTTTAGTTTTTTAAAGCTTTGTGAATTTATTTCAAAGTTTTATAACTCAGTAAAGTTCAAAATTGTCAGTTACTTATTAAACATAAATGTGTGACAACAGATAAAAACTGTCTCTGCATTGTAGAATTTTATATGAATAGGAATGTAAAACTCTCAAATAATATTTTTAGAGTATGGGATCCAAAATACATAAGATAGATTTGCAGATTAGCATTTTACCCATTAATGAGACTCTCGGGCCATTGTATTTAACTTGTGTGACTTAAGGTTAAAAACATTTGCTTCTCTAAAAGTAAACTGATAATTAAAAATTTTGTCACATAACTTTCTGCTTAAAATGCCAAAGTGTGTATGAACAAGTATAAATATATAAATATATAAATACATTAACAAAATAATTAAAACTCAACTGATGTTTGATGTTAGCTTTTTCAAGGTCTTATTAAAGTTGCTAATTGATAGCTGAAGTAATTGATGAAAATATGCTTGATGTTTAGGTATTTTGCTAATGTTTGATATTTTTAAGAGGTTGCCAGTATTCTGGGTTAAATCCTTTTAATAAATTTTATATTATTGTTATTATTTTATTTTACTTTAAGTTCTGGGATACATGTGCTGAATGTGCAGGTTTGTTACGTAGGTGTACATGTGCCATGGTGGTTTGCTGCACCTATCAACCCGTCATCTAGATATTAAGCTCTGCATGCATTACGTATTTGTCCTAATGCTCTCCCTCCTCTTTCTCCCGACCCCCCATTAATAAATCTTAACTTTTGTTTTCAGGCCAGAGTTACAGCAGGTTACTGTTGATGGACTGGAAGTTCTCATTCCAAAGGATCCAGTGCACTTTGTAGAAGAAATACCACACTCTAGGTTTATTGAGTGTCGGTATAAAGAAGCTCGAGCATTCTTTCAGGTTAGAGACAACCAAATGTCCACTTTTAAATTAAAGAAAATGTTGGGATTATTTTTAATATTTGAGGATGGTAAGCTGAAGGGACTTACGAAAATAGAAAAGTAGACATCCTTTTTTGATGTGTCTGTTTTCTTCTGGCTTGTTTTCTTTCAGTTTTTTTAAAAAGTAGATTAAAAATTAACCTTAAAAAACTATTTTCTAAGTGAATTGATATTTATTTATTGTTTTATTTGAATAACTTTAATAAATTTAGCACTGGCTTCTGCCTTTAGTTAAGACAGCCCATTAACTTTGTGAAAGATGGGATATTCTCAATCCACGTAGGATAAAGCCACTATAGAAGATGGATCATGTAGATTTAGAAAAGACTTCATAAAAATATGATTTGTTTCAGAGTTGGCATTGAATATGGTTTTTTTTACATTTATGAAGGTTTTTGAAGATAAATGCTACACAAAGACTAAATGCTTTTAAAACTTTATTCTCCTGCTGCAGCTTTCAATTCAATACACATTTAGTGAGAGCTAAATATTCCCAGGCTTCTGGCCCTGGGAATATAAAGATGATTTTGAAAGGCATGAAAATTCAGCTCTAAGAGATGACATGAAACAGAGATACAGTGAAAACAGGCAAATTTACAGTGGGGTTTTGGTACCCTAATTCTTTCACTTGCTCTTTATTTTCTGGGGTTCCCTGCCAAGAAAAGCTATATCCACGAGGGAAGAAACACAATGAAGTATGTTACTGTCAAGCGCCCAATACCTACAAGTCAGGTTTTTCTAATATAGTGTAGTGGCACCTAGAGCTGAGGCCTGACAGCCCAAGTGGGCCTTCCTAGCCCTATTTCCTTAAGTCATTGTGGAGCTGGGAAATTATGCAGCCAGTCTCATGAATAAAAAGCTGGAAAACCACATGTGTGAATGGGCCTACTTTAGTAGAAAAGTGCTGCCTGACATATCCCTACCACATAGTAACGAGATGTAGAAGAGATGGTTTTATGCTTAAACTTGACCACTCTTCCTGTCCTAAGGGAGTTTGCTCTTGTTGTCATCTCAGTTATGCAATTATCACAGTGAATCATGAATATCTGTCTTTTCCTCTTACCGGATTTTATGAACTTCTTGATAACAGGCATGTTCTTTTTTTTATTTGCCTGTGTTGGCCCAGTATCTACCATACAAAGAAAAGATCCAATAGGGTCAGTTTTCAAATTAAAGTGAACGTACATGTATTTGAACACTTGATGGCGCCAAACAGTCTTAAATATAATGCTTGATGTAAAGCAATGAATTAATCTAATAGACCTCATAAAGCAGTCTCCTTTTTTTAAAAAAAATAATTTTTTAAAAACAATTTTAAATACATAAAACCTGCAAGTACACTACCAATACCTTTTTTTCCTGAACCACTTGGGAATAACATGTTGACCAGATGCCCTACAACTTCAAAAAATTTAGTATTTTTAAAAAAGGAACATTCTCTACGTGTCCTAATATTAAAGTTAGGAAATTAAAATTTACATTTTTACTATTTAATCCCTGTTCAAGTTTAGTCAGTTGTCCCAGTAATAACCTTGGTAATAAAAGGATTCAATTCAGAATCACATGTTGTCTTAATTTTCCTGTCTCTTTAGTCTTCTTCAGCCTGGGACAGTTTCTCAGTTCTTTTATTACTTTCATGACTTTAATACTTTTGAAGATTACACGCCAGATGTTTTGTGCAGCGTCCCTCATTTGGGGTTTGTCTGGGGGTTCCTCGTGTTAGATTTAGGTTATACTTCTTTAGAAGGTTAGAAGTGGTGCCCTGTTCTCATTACATCTCATTGGGCACAGCATAATTTTGTTTTGTCCCATTATTACTGATATTCACATTGTTCACCTGATTAAAATGCTGTCTGTGAAGTTTCATATCTTCACCACCATGAAGTTTCTGTTTTTCCCTTTGTAATAATAAGCATCTGGCAAGAAGTTACTTTAAAACTATGTAAATACTGTTTTCCTCATTACATTTTCAGTTTATTTGTTCATATCAGTATGCATTCATGGTTTCCTATTTTACCCAATGGGTTATAGTTCATTATTTTCATTATGTAGCTTGATCTTCAGATTGTTCCATATTTGGCCAGTAGAAACTCCTTCACAATGTTTTCTGTGTCTTTTTGACTTGTCTCAGTTATTTTTTGGACACTTTATTACTTTTTGACACTATAAGTTATTCTGGATTAATCTTGTAATTTTCCTACCTTTACCCTGGAGTCAGGCATTTCTTTAAGTCCTGTTTAGAAGCCAAACCTGGATGCCAGGAATACCCATTGCTATTTGGGTTTTGCTGCAGACAGTTTCTCTCAGTGGGCAGGGATAGGGTGTGTATGTTTGTGTGTATTTCTGTATCTGTCTCTTGAAACCTGTAAATTCACATTGATATCTCCAGTCAAGTTATAAGTTCCAATTAAACACCATAGAGTTCATTTCCATATTTGTGACTCCCTTCTCAAATAATGAGAAACTTGAGTCCCACTGTCCTTAGTGTTTGCTTATTTGTTCAGTCTCCCTGTATGTAATGTGTCCTCCCCTCCCTACCCCCACCACGTGGTTGTTCTTCTCACCCTACCAGGGCATTGCTGTCCCCTGCTGGGTTGCACCCAGGTGGAGAAACTCTTCTTACCCTGTTCAGGCTGTGACTTCCCATACCTGGCTGCTCTTCTGCAGGGAGGCTCTCCTCACCCTGCCTGGGCTCTTACTCCTCACCCTGGACACCCCCCTATCCTCGTCATGTGGATCCCCTCATTACCTGGCCGGGCTCTGACACCCCACACCAGGCAATCCCTTTGCACAAATACCTTTCTTGCTTTGCCTGATCTACTGGTTTTAGTATCGAATAGTTCAGGAAGGGAAGGAAACATTATTTACTTTTAATTATTTTCTCAATCTATGAAGTTCAAAGCTAGAATAATATACATATTCCTGAATTTGATTTTGTTTCAGCAAAAACCATCACAAGGTAATTAATGAGCTCCAGCCTGTTGAGTATCAGTGAAAAACCAAAAGGAAAGTTGGAATACCTGTACATCTGGCCCAGGAATATCTAGATAGGAACATTCTTGTTTTACTTCTGCTAATTTGCTCTAAGATTTTGGGCAATTTTCTGAGCCTTAGTTTCCTCAGCTACAATAAAATTTGGTACCTTCCGTCATCCTATTATTTGATATAAAATTTGTGGTTTTGAATTCCAAGATTCTTCTTGGGCTTTGTGTCCCCATTCATTGGCTGAACAGGAGAAATTAAATAAACATGATACTTAAATTAGAATATTAATTTAGCCTTTTTTAGAGGAATAGTATTTCTAAGATTTGTACTTGGAATTTATTTTTATATAATTACTTATTTATTTTTAACTTTTAAGTGCAGGGGTGCAGGTGCAAGTTTGTTACATAGGTAAACTTGTGTTGTAGTATTAAGCCTAGTACCTGTTATTTTTCCTGATCCTTTCTCTCCTTCCACCATCCAAAAGGACTCACTGTGTGTTGTTCCCCTCTATGTGTCCACCATGTGTTCTCATCATTTAGCTCCTACTTGTCAGTGAGAACATGCAGTATTTGGTTTTCTGTTCCTGTGTTAGTTTGCTAAGGATAATGGCCTCAGCTCCATCTGCGTCCCTGCAAAGAACATGATCTTGTTCTTTTTTATGACTGCATAGTATTCTATTGTGTTTATATACTACATTTTCTTTATCCAGTCTATCATTGATGGGCATTTAGGTTGATTCCATATCTTTGGTATTGTAAATAGTGCTGCAGGGAACACACACATGCATGTGTCTTTATAATAGAATGAATGATTTATATTCCTTTCAGCATATACCTGATAATGGAATTGCTAGGTCAAATGGTATTTCTGTCTTTAGGCCACTGAAGAATCACCACACTGTCTTCCACGGTGCTTGAACTAATTTATACTCCCACCAACCATATATAAGCGTTTCTTTTTCTCCACAATCTCAACAGTATCTGGGGTTTTTTATTTTTTATTTTTATTTTTTGTAGTAGCCATTTTGACTGATATTAGGTAGTATCTCATTGTGGTTTTGATTGCATTTCTCTAATGATCAGTGATGTTGAACTTTTTTCATATGATTGTTAGCCACATGTATGCCTTTTGAAAAGTGTCTGTTCATGTCCTTTGCCCACTTTTTAATGGGGTTGTTTGCTTTTTCTTGTAAATTTAAGTTCCTTATAGATGCTGGATATTAGACCTAATATCTATGATTTGCAAACCATAGTTTGCAAAAATTGTCTCCCATTCCTTAGTTACCTGTTTATTCTGTTGATAGTTCTTTTGCTGTGCAGAGCTCTTTAGTTTAATTAGATCCTATTTGTCAGTTTTGCTTTTGTTGCAATTTCTTTTGGCATCTTCATGAAATTTTTGCCTGTGCCTATGTCCTGAATGGTATTGCCTGAGTTGTCTTCCAGAGTTTTTGTAGTTTTGGGTTTTACATTTAAGTCTTTAGTTCATCTTGTACAAGCTATTTTTAAATGAAAAAAAAGTGTGTATACTACATTTAAAGTTTATAATAGATGTTTAAGGTATATAGGTGTATGCACGTATGCATTTTAACACATACTAGGATCAGTTCTAAGAAATGGAATTTCTAGCCAGGTGCGGTGCCTCATGCCTGTAATCCTAGCACTTTGGGAGGCCGAGGCGGGTGGATTGCCTGAGCTCAGAAGTTTAAGACCAGCTTGGGCAACATGACAAAACCCTGTCTCTACAAAAAATACATAAAGTAGCTGGAAATGGTGGCATGCACCTGTAATCCCAGCTACTTCGGAGGCTGAGGCAGAAGAATCACTTGAACCCAGGAGGTGGAGGTTGTAGTAGGCCAAAATCACACCACTGCTGCTCTCCAGCCTGGGCACAAAAAAAAAAAAAAAAAAAAGGAAGAAAAGATGGAATTTCTGAGAGTGTCACAGTGTCATGTTAGGAAAGGTATATCGGGGTGGGAGAATGTCGATATGGGGACAGTACCAGCAAGAGGTAACTGTCAGACCTGATGTTTTCATAGAGCACAAAATTTTCATATCTGCTATTTAATCCTTTCAGTCACTCTGTGTAATAAGGCAAGGATTCTCTTAACAGATAAGAAAATTGATGTTTCAAGATGTTAGTTACACTGTGATTATTGGTGGAGCATGGACCGAGTCCTAGATCTCTACCTCTTAACTCCAGGCTTTTGCCACTATAACAAGCATTAGAAGATGTCCCTCATTCCAGTCATATGTTGTAAGAGCACTCGTGGCTTTGAGGAAAGGGTTGTGTTCAAATTAAAGAAGGGATCCTGTGTAATTTGTATATTCTGTAGACAGTGACTTATCTGCAAGAAACTCTTCTTCCTGAAGGTAGGGTACTTTTTGCTTAAGATCTGTATAGTCCATCTGGGATCTATATTCTTGTCTGCTGTATTGTAAAAGAATCACAGGATATTTTAGAATGTTGGAGGCATGGGAGGGGCTTGGTCAATCATATATTCATTTGCCCATTCATCAGTATGTGTTTTTCAGATATTGTGTGCCAGGTACCATTCTACACCTGTAGATACAGTGATGAAGAGATGTGTATTTGCCCTCAGAGAACCATCTTTACAGTCTGTTGGAGGAAATATAAATAAATTGATGATTAGGATTAAATATGATATGAATTATAGTAAAGGTATTTACAAGTAGTAACTATTATAAGCTTGTTAAGGAAAAAGATATTTCATTTGTCATCGTATGTCTAGAACCAAACATGATTCTTTGTTCTATAAAGGCTGAAAAGAAACACTTCCTGGATAAGAACTGGAAGAATAAATACATATGTCTTCCTGGGAAAAATGAGGAATGTTTCTCAGAGGTTGGAGCTGAGACCTGAAAGATTTTATTGGTCAGGGGCATATCAGACAAAGGAAACAGCATATATGAAGTACGGAGGCTTGAAAAGTTGTGGTATATTTGAGGAGTTACAAGTTATTGTGATATATTTGGGGATTTAAAAGTTATGATACGAAGTGTGAGGATTGTGCAAATGAGGCTGGACCCCAGTTGTCAGGGACCAGAACACAGTGTTTTTGTCCACTAGGACAAGAAGTTTAAATTTCGTCCCATAAGTAGCGAAGCATCACTGTAGAATTTACAGTGCTTTCCTCAGCTCTAGAATACTCTAAAAATGAAGAGAATCAGAAAACCAAGATGAATAAATGATATAATATTTTATGACCTTATAATTTGCAAGACATTTTTTCTCCTTCAATCTTCACAGCAATCCTGCAAAGTATAATAATGATCCTTAAACTACAAATGAGAAAATTAGATATAAGAGAGATTTGTTTGTTCTTACATTCTCTCATCCATTCAGCAAATATTCAGGTACTATTCTACCCACTGGAGACATAATAATAAAATGAATTCACTTTCCTCATAGAGCTTATATTCTTCTGATATAATTATGCCTATGGTCACAGCTAAAAAGAAGTGTACTAGATTTGATCATCTGATTCAAAATCTCAGGCTCTTTCTACCCTACTACACAGTCTCTAAAGACTAATAGAATCATTGAATGGTGAAAACATTATTAAATTCATTTTGTTCCAGCTATGTTTGTAGCTCTCATAATTAGCCTTATTTTATCCTGACTATCCAGCTACTAAATTGTGATGTAGAGGAGGGAGCTGATAAAAGGATGTCTCATCCTTTGGAAATCCTGGTTCTATTCTTTCCCTTTTAATTTCTCTCTCCTAGAATCTACTCTTACATGCTCATTTTAGTGCAGGACAAACAAGTAACTATAAAATGGGATTTTTATAATAGAAAAAAGATGATATGGGGTTTTCTTTTTTTTTTTTTCTTCTCCTGTCTTCTCTTTT